ACCTCTTCGTGTAGCCATAGCTCTGGTTCAACTACCTGTTGTTCCACTGGAGCAAAGCAACAGCATAACATTATGAATGCATCAAGTAGTGGAAATGCTTTAATGGTAGAAGATCCTGGTGGGGTGCTTAAGAGAGCTCGTAGTGATGCAGAATTACACGCCTTGCTTCAAGAGGAGCCAAAGAGTCTTGCAAGGTCCCAAAGCCAGAAAACATTTGGTGAACATCCAACTCTTGAGACCTTGCCTCCTTTGCCAACAACTGGTGGCAGAAATCTGAGGGCTGGAGGTGGCTTTAGGATCAAGGCAACTTTTGGAGAATATAAAATTCGTTTTAGCTTACCACCAAATTGGGGATTCTCAGACTTGCAACAAGAGATTGCCCATCGTTTTAACATTGACGATGTCAACAAAATCGATCTAAAATATCTGGATGATGATTGTGAGTGGGTTCTCTTGACATGTGATGCTGATCTTGAGGAATGCATTGACATACACAAATCATCTCAAAGCAATACAATCAAAATTGCTCTTCACCAAGCCTCTCAACCAAGACTAGGAAGTTCATTTGGTAGCACTGGGCCATCCTGATACAATCATCAGTTTTCAGAAGCGTGTCATATAGCCATAAACCTTCTCACTTCTGTGAATTGTGATTGGAATATTGCGGAGCAAAGCGGCTTCAAATGATGAAAGATCTTGTTTGTATGCCAGAAATCTTTCAGTTTCATATTGGCAGAACAGCTGGGAATTTTGCTTTTTCATTTACCTTTTCCTTTTCTTTTAATCATATAGATTGCTGGGTATTGTAGAGTAAAGCTGAAGTCAGAAACTAGAAGTAATTAGGAAGGGGAAATAAGCATCTTTTTAGCGAATGCTGGCATTAATCATGTAACTTAACAATCTATGAAGTGGGTGTGTTTCAAAGATTTTTGTATGAAATGCAATGCACATTAAACCTGCTTTCTTGCCATGTATCATTCAAAGATGATTCTCTATATTGTGTGGTCGGATTTTCTCACTCTGGTATTTCCTTTCTTGTTCTATAAGATGATTCTCAAAGGTAATCAGAAATGAAGAGTTGGTCTACAGTTGTGCGCTCCCGGAGCACTGCACTATACGTGTCTGATTGGATCGCATAAACTTTTTTGTATGATGGCATCATGTTCTATCTTACACAAAATTAAAGTGAGCCAATCAGATGTGGGGAGTGTATCAAATTATTTTTACCTCATGAGAATGTGAATATTTATAGATGACAATGTCATGTACCTTGGAAATGGAACGCAGAATTACAGAGTTTGGAGAACAACAGGATCAGAGGAGAAGTTGCAGGAGAGTTACGAGGCAAGGAGAAAATAGAGTAAAACAGAGGAGAGGAATTTGGACAAGAATTTCAGGTTAAGAAGAAAGAATTTAGAACGGAAGAGTCAGATAGCAGAAAGGAAGAAGAGAAAGAAATTTCAGAGGAAATCAAGTGGGAATTTCTAATTCAATTTTATGCATTTTCGTTTACAAAATACATGCTCATAATCTTCATTTCCTTCCTTTTTCTATTTGTGTATTCTCCAATTCTATAATCAATGTAACAGTAAATCACAAGACGCGGTTAATCTCTAATTAATTTTCTTAATCAAAATAATTTAACTAATTATTTCTAATAAATTCTAACTATCATTGAATTTCAATACTAACAGTCAAATGGAAAGTTCACCTGGGGTGGCACATTGTTGTTTGACCGCGGAGCTAAAAGATAAAAAATTTTTGCTTTTGCTTTGGACTGTCTAACTCTAACTGATGTGTAACCTTAAATCAACTGATGAGATAAAAAATTTCAATGTACAATTTAATATAAAAATATAATTTTTAAATAAATTATTCCTACTTAACCCACAATTAATTTGTTATTGTAAATTGAGATAATTGAAAAAAATAAATTGATTATAACGCTTTAAAAAATATATTGGTAAGTTAAAATCAACTCAAAAAAAGATATTGATGAAAACGATACAAATTATCTTGAGAAGCAAACATCAATTCCTCATTCAACAAGAAAGTTAGAAAAACCTCTTAAGTTGTCAATTTAAAAGTTGTATTTCATTAATCTTAAACTTCGATGTGTTTATAACTAAAATAATGAAACCTTTATATAATCATAAACTTTACTAATTGCATTAAAATTCAAAAACTAAATTCCAAGAAAATTTTTAATACAAATCTTATTTAGGATTCTAATTACAAATTAAATTAAAGTCTCATAAATATAAAAAAGAATAAAATTCTTCTCTTTTGAATGAGATTTCTAGTTGTGAGTGAATTTTTTCTTCTTAACTTTGTTTGATTTAGACTTCTATAATTAATTAACTTTTGATGAAGGAGTTGTGTTAAAGATGTCTCAAAAGCTTTCAAATTGAAGTAGAAAATAATTCTTCTTCTATGAAAAATCTAGGAGAAATATTTAGGAGAAAATTTAAAAAAAAATCTAAAATTTTTTATTATAAGATAAAAAAGAGTGTAATTTCGACCAAAACTTGTAATAATAGGATTCTTCATCTTTTATTTTTATAAAAACTCTAAATTGATGAATATAAGATAAAATTCAGCCATATTTGATAAAGAAAAAACTCATTTTTCTTGTGAGAATCGCTTGTAAGCATAAATATTTTCCCTTTAATTTTTTACATGTTGATTATAATTCAAATACTTATTTAACATGATTTTCGGGAGGGAGAATTCTTTTAAGACTCTTTAAAAGATAAAATTAGACTTTTTAAGCTTGATTTCCATGAATTATCCTCCTAACTCGTATCACTAACCCATCACTTGAACGAGCAAACTTGCAAGTTATTTCTTTATTTTACTAGATTTGGTTTTTACTTTTAGAAAATTTTTATGTGAAAAAAGTATAATAGAGAGAATCTATAGTAATGTGGTTCAACAAAATTTTATGTACTCTATGCTCTTTCACTTCTATGTAGAGAGAGAAAATTTAATATATATATATATATCATAAAATTATAGGAGTATACTGAAGTAAAGTAATCATAAAATTTTGTTAATGTATTATCTAACAAAAAGACTATGGTAGAGCGAAGCTGATTGTTATAAGGTATATTTTTTTCATTGTTTAACTTGTTTTTCGAGTCTTATTCTTTCGTGTTTGTCATTTTATATTTTTACTGTTTGAAACAACGTGCAATTTCAATAACTGAGTCATTTTGTTTCTCTCACCATCTAATGTTTTGCTTAAATTGGAACAAGAATGAATGTTATTATAGACACTAAAGCTAGTAGCAAGTATTAAATCATTTTAGAAAATATAAAGCATGTTCTTTGATTCACTTTTTATCATTTCACAATATTAAATTTTTATAAGATTATATATAACACCTTATATATTACATTAATACTGTTGCGAGAGAAAATATAATATATATATATATATATATATATACCTACAATTTAAAATTTTTAAAAGTATCAACATTCATAATTTTGAGTGATAGTTTAAATATATTATAAGCTTGTTATTTTACAAATGGTATCATAATTGACTCCAAACCTACTACTATATTGGATTTACAACTTCTATTTAGATTATATCTAATTTTATGTTTGATTTTATTAATTTAAAATCGTGAGAATCTTTTAAAGTGAAATATGCAATTTTTATATTTTGCTTGGATCAACTTTATTATCTTTTAATATATTATTAAATCATAATTATTTGACACATAGATTTAAGAAATAAATTCCCCATTTCATGTTTAACTAAATCAACTCTATTTATGTTTTTAATTCTATAATAAAATATTTATATTTTCACTTGTAAAAAGAGGAACTGAAAAAAAAAAATCTAATTAAATTGGATATAAGTTAATTTACATTTAAATACTATTTTAGTTTAAATATTTGTTCAACTTATTCCATATTCTCGTGACAATTCAATATAATTGAAATTTGGTCCAAAAATGAAACATAGAGAAAAAAAAAAAAAAAAAAAAGTAACAAAAAAACTAAAAAGCATAGACTGAGTTGACAGTGGGCTCACATTTAGGTTTGAATGAGTTTTATCTGGCAATATGCAGCTAGCCATAAAAATGGCATCAATGGAAGAAGCAATAATTATGGTCTCAATTTCTGGGAACCAAAATCATCAAAGTGAGTCTAGAGGTTGCTGAAAATCAGAATGTCTAGGCTAAAAATAGGACCATTACAGAAGACCTGGAAAAGGCACTATGTTAGTTCGGTAAACCTCAATGATTTCTGGAATCCGGGAACAAAAGTTTTCTGACAAAATGTGGTCATCTGTTTGGAATATTTCAGTACAATTGAGGCACTATTATTTGCTTTTTGCATTAGATTACTCTGATGCAAGTACAAATCCATATGTTAGGAAATACATGAGCCAGAAAGTATATCTGTAACTCGGGAAACCAATATGCCATAATGTGTATTGAATACTAATGCATTCATCTTGGAAGAATATATCTTCTTCTGCCCCTTCGTTCATACTTTACAAAATCTTCCAAGCTAGAATTAATGAATCTTTAATGACATTTATGTGGGCTACACTTGCTATGCAGACAGAATGGTAAAACTTGTAGTAAATTAGACTACCACGTTTCTGCAAGTAGCAAACCCTTCTTTAAGCTCATATCATAGTATATGAAGAGAAAATGAACCTGCAAAGACAGGATAAACACAAGTTACCAAACAAATAAACCTGTTATGATGAGCATCTAATTCCGTAATTTTATTTAACTACATCACTTAGCTGCCCAACTGAGATTGCTCCCAAGCAAGGTCTCGAGATTTTGTATTTTGTTTTATTGCATCTGGTCCAGGGCCATAACCTCAATATGTTCCTCGAGAACATTACAGTAAATGCAATTTGTGAACCTTCCAGACCTGTTTCCAGACCTTCTATATACACGGGTTAGGCTCGTCCAAATTAGAGTATGCATCACCCTGCTTTGAAGATGATAAAGCCATCTATAGCGTTTCCTTTTTGACTTAACTTGATCTGTTTCTCATCCACCTTTTTATAAACAGTCTTCTTTTGTAATTGCTTCACAACTGCAGTGACAGAAGAGGTTACAATTAATGTCATTAAGCCTTCCTAGGCTGAAAAACAGTTTCACAGTTGTTAACTAACACAGGCTAACCCACTTTGTGCTACACTGAGCTATATTTGCCCATAAATTTTCCTATCTTGATCAATTATAATCTGTTTTAGTGCTACAACTGAGGCATGCTGTATGTGGATTCCCACAGTGAAAGAGACTGCAACCATAAAGTTTAATAAAGAGTATCTGTTGCAAACTGTGTTTGTAGTCCTTCAGTAAGTCTCCTCTAGTTTTCCAATGCATAGAAACAGGGAACTTATGCCAAATTGATTTGAGAAAATCTGTAGTTAAATGAGATGTAAAAATGTACCTGAAGTATTTACAAAGGGTTTATATGACTCAGCATCCCGCTATTCATCCCAAATACAGGAAATTTTAAGTGATTTAGCCACCATTGATTTCCCAGTACTCCAGAAAGTCATTTTTCTGGTGTTGGGAAAGTAGTATACTTCTCTGACCCCAGCCTTTCTCTACCCGCTTAATGGCTTTGAATGCAATCCCACTGCCATCATCTCTGTAAAAGGAAAATTAATAAGAATGTTAAATGCGTAATAAAATATAAACAGACTAAATAAAAAGAGGTGGTGTAGCAACAATAGAAAACAGTAAAAAGGGTTCTAAAAGGTTTTTAGACACGCACAACTGAGAATATGAAGATAAGCTATTACACTCGATCAAGCGAAGTTCTCATACTCTTATATTCACCGAGCAATGTAGATAAATAGAAAGTCTGGAAAGGCAATCAGCGCTTCATTGTGCTAACTCAGGATCACAAATCATACAAGTCAAACCAAGCATCACTGTGTCAATATGCTGATCCTAACTACACAGAGCATAACTTAACCTCGTATCATCATAATCTTGTGAGATGTTTTGATTCTAAAGAAGAAAATTCTTCAAACTTAGGAAAACGCTAAAACCTGAATCAGAAGTTAAATAGTGAGCATCTACTGAGGGAAAACAAGCACCAAGGTTGAACTGAGGCAACAGCCATGCCATAGAACAAGAGAATCAAATGGAAATAAAGCAAGAACAGAAAATTAACCATACCTGTGCACTAAGGTTCGCCAGTCATTCCCACTGTTCTCATTCTGTCTTCTTCGGTCTAAATCCTTGGCATTTTGGCAGACTTTATTTTCCACCCTATCGCCTGACACCATTTCCATCATTCTCTCAGCAAGTTTATCAGCCTCATGTTTATTTCCCTTTTTACCAAGGCCATCAATCACTGGCATGAACGATGCTGGATCAAACACATATCCTTTATCTATCATCTTCCATAATATCCCACTAGCCATCTCTAATTTTTCATCCTTGCAAAGTTGGTTAATGAGATCTTTGTATAGAAAGTTCTCCAGATCAAAAGATCTATCTAATGCAGCTTCAAATAAGTTTTTAGCTTCTGAAACCTCTTGTCCTGCTAGAAACGCATTGAACATTAAACTATAAAGGGCTTTCTTGTGGCCACATATGCTCAAAGCAGTATCAAATGCCTCCTTTGCGACCTCAAAATTGGATGCTTTGCACAAAGCTCCAATCAACATTCTGAAGGATGAAATATTAGGGGATATGCCCTGCCGTAGCATTTCATCCAAGATGTACATCGCGTCTTGTATTTTTCCTCCTTCACATAGACATCTAATCATATTGTTATAAGTGCAAACATTGGGAGAAATCCCTCTTTCTCTCATTTCATTGATAAGTCCATGGATCTCAAATATTTGTTTTTTACTTCCAAAACCCAAGATCAACGAGTTATATGTTTGTAGGCTCTTGTTACAGCCTCTCTTCTCCATGTCTTTGAGAACACGAAATGCAGATGATATCTTTCCTTCCTTGCAATAAGTATCTATAAAAGTATCATATATAAATGAATCAGGTTGAACTTTTTTTGCCAGCATCTCAATGAACTTTTTCTTAGCTTCTTCAGCCCTTCCAGCTTTGCATAAACCTCTAATTAAGGTTGAATACGTAATCAAATCAGGCATGCATTTCTTCTTATTTTTTCTATCATCAACTAGGCCTATATAAGAGTTTCCTAGGTTCCCAAGAGCAGCACTTCCATGACTCCACATTGCATTCACAATTTCAATGGCTTTCTCCAATTTCCTATTATTACATAGACCATCAATCACTGTATTGCAGGTGACTGTATCCAAGTCATAACCTTTCTCATTCATCTTTTTTAGCAACTCTTCAGCTTCCAATATCTTTCCTTCTTTCCACAGACTGTGCAGCAGTATGTTGCAAGTATAAGTATTTGGGAAGCAATTGTTCCTCATCATCTCGTTTAGAACATTATTGGCTTCATTTACTCTACCTTTACTACAGTATCCATGGAGTAAAGTGCTGAAAGTTACTGTATCTGGGGAAAGACCACTACTTATCATTATACCCATGACCATTCTTGCATCCGATAGCATTCCATTTTTGCACAGCCCTTCCATCAAAATATTATATGAATAATTGTTTGGTTTTAAACCCTTATCTGTCATTTCTTTAAGAAATATTTGAGCGTCTACAAGCTTTGCATTTCTCAGAAAACCCAGCAACCAAATATTATAGGTCTCCAAATTCGTGAGTTTGTGGTTTCTTCTCATGGCCTCAGTCAGGGCCTTGGCTTCTTCTAACATTCCTTGCTGGAAAAATCCCTTCAGCATTAAATTGTAAGTTATGATATTAGGCTGAGGCAGCCCCAATGCCTCCTCATCTATTTGCATATCTCTGCAAATTCTAGAAGCTTCTAGAACTTTACCTGCCTTACAAAGAGCTGATATCCTAGAATTGAAGGTTACAATATCTGGGAACAAACCATCCTCCCGCATCCTATCAACTAATTTTTCGGCATCATCAGTCCTACCTTCTCTGCAAAAACTTGAAATAAGAGTATTGTACAGAACCAAATTCGGAGAAAAACCAAAGTTCCTCATCCCAACCAAAAGCTCCAATCCTTCATCAGCAAGATTAGCCCTACAATACCCACAAATCAAAATCCCAAAAGTGAACTCATTAGGTTGACAACCTTTCTCACGCATTTTATCAAACAGCTCTCTGGCATCCTCCAAACAACCAGAATCGCATAAAGCACGAATTAGAAGGTTAAAAGTATAAGTCTCCGGGGAAACCCCAGCAACAACCATGTCCCTGTACAACCATAACACGTAATCTTCACGTCCTTCTCTTATGCAACATTCAAACAACATATTATACGAATTAATGGAGGGTGGGTTTTCAGGGAAACGAGTTCTGATAGATTTGAACTGCAAAAACGCCTCATCATAGAAACCCAATTTAGCCAAAATCTTGACAAGGGAGATGAGAGAAGAATGAGATGCGTTCTGTGGTTGTTTAAGTAGGAGGAGATTGTGAAGGTTATCGACTTTGTCAAGCATTTTGGCCTGAATGAGGATACGGGTAATGGTGGGAACCAAGGAAAAAGGTTGACTGGATGGGGAGGAAAGTATTCGCTTGAAGATTTCCCATGCTAATTTTGGATTGTTCGTGTTCTTTAACAGTGTCCTTCTGAGTTTGGATGTCTGCTCCATGAATGTACTCTTACTTGGTCTGGTTTTGTTTCGGTTTTTCAATGTGGCGGGAAACTGAGAAATGGAACCTGTTGGATCCCACTGAAAACCATTGGACGGCTGTGATTAAACAATTTGGCTCTGTATTTATTTATTTTTTGAGTTCAATTGAGCTAAGAGAGAAATTATGAAGTATATACTTCAAATTTAATTTACTGCTTCATATTTCATTTCAATGGTTTACAATGTAAATCTTAATTACTGTGAAAAAAATACCAAGTAAAATAAATAATAGTTTTTCAGATAAATTCAAACAAGTAAGATCGATTAGCTTGCAACATAGTGTTAACGAATATCGATATTTGGTTAGTAGTAATGTAAACATTTTATTCTGGTCGGTTATATATTTCAGGGGGTTAGGCAGGGGAGAAGATAAAATTTTATCTTAAAATGATAAAAATTAAATTATATATAAATTATGTAAAATTAAAGTTATACTTTTTTATGTACTATTAAAATAAAATTAGTAGAATTTAAATTATATATAATTTAAGTGAAATTATAAGTTATACTTTCGATAAATGATCAAAATTAGTAGAATTTAAAATGTATTATTTTTATTTGATTTAAAATTTTCTAATATATTACTTATTGTTATTTTTTTTTAAATAAATCACCTTTGAAAAATAAGATTATTTTGTTCCAAGTATATCCTTAATTAATTTAATTGATCTTTATTCTCATATTAAAATTAAATTTGGTTAGTCATAATAGACAATGTTTTTATTTGGATGGTTTAAAATGTTGAAATAAAAACTCAAGATTGTCATCTTCCATCCACACATGTACAGATAAATGGAGTAAATTATAATTTTCTGTACAAATAGTGCAGGCCCTACTGTAATTTTGAATTTAATTTGAAGAAAATACTGTTCTTAGTTAAAGAAAATTTTGATATGGCATTATTATTGTGGCTAATACACGACTCCCGAGATGGACTTTAATTACAATTATTATGATGGAAGAATATGTCGAGGGCATAATTTAGTTTTAGCTTATAAAATCATTTTTGTTCTTCTTTTTATATGCTTTTTCGTTGGCGAAGTTTATATTTTTCGTCCATAATACATCTGACAAAATTACTTCATATATACAACTACCATGAAAGACATACTACAATTCATTGAAATTTCAAAAATTAAAATGTAATATTAAAGTATCAAAAAGGCATTAAATCAAATAAAGTTTTAACATCAATCGACTTGAAAAAGATATTATGATGATTTACATTTTGTTATCTGTCAATAAAAATTTTCGAACAATTTACAAGACATAGTGCTCGTTACAAAAGCACTCCTCTATGAAGTCGTGGAACTTTCATTATCTCACACATTTACCATTAGGGTTTTTATTTTTATTTATTCATATTTATTTTAACAAAGTATATGATGTTTTAGCAGTAAATTTTCAGTATATTCCCAGAAAAAGAAGTCAATATATTAAATAATTACTGAAACACTACATTTTTGTGCCTTTTTTTTTAAAAATTTTGATTTAAATTGTATTTTTTGTTAAAAAGAAAATCTGAGAGTAAAAATATATCAACTAATTGTTAAAAGTAGCTGTAGTTTCTATTTGAGGTTACATAGCTATAAACAACAAAGTTATCAGGGTATGTTGATATTTGAATACCATCTAATTCAAGACTGAAGTAGATGCTACGACTTCTCCTTGTTCCTCAACCATTACACGTCTTGAGGGTGGACCAAACAAGCTCAGTACCACCTGAAAAACCATGAAGTTAAAAACATGTGATTATCCCATTCAAGCAAATACCACACATGGCTGGTTTAGAGGCAGAAACAAGCCAAAAAAATCAAAACCCGGCTCCATTTGATGCCGGGTCGTCTTAATGGTTGCCTCACAAAGTCCATGGCCAGTATGTAACAGCAACACACAAAATTGTAACCTCTGACCCAGTCTCATCGGCAGAGATATATGTATCTCTCTCATCTACCATGTACCTTACCAAACCCAAGACCGGAATTTTTTGGATTGAAGTTAAGACTAAAATAAGAGAAAAGCAATCAAGTCGTGTTGTTGTCTGTGTTTCTTCAGAACATATTTTAACTCCAAATTAACATATAATAACATTTTAAAGCAAAAAAGATAAATAATCTTTGTATTAATTTCTAAGTGTAAAATTTTTAAAAAATCATCAAAATAAGCAATTAAATTAACAATAAAAATAAAAACTAAAAAAATAAATCAATCTGAGTATTTCTTTTTCAGTCCTTCCAGACCAAAAATCAAAATTTCAAAAAAATTTGAATCCAAACCAGACCAGACAAAGTTCAGTCTAGTCCAGATCAAATCATGAAATCCTCCCTCTACATGATGTCATAATGGAAACTAGTAAGGGCACATATACAGATATCATAGAACTTCAATTGGACTTACAGGTAAGAACACAAGTCCATGCAAGAAACCAATAATGACCAATGCCAGGTACATTTGAAAGTAATAAACCTGAAAAGCAATAAAAGCTGCTTATTAAATCCTTCAAACAAGGAAAAGAAAAAGAAAGAATCAAAGCAGAGAGGGCAGGGACTGAACCACAAAAATCTCTGATCTCGCAAAGCAAAGCACGATCACCCCAACAAGCTTTGTGAGTGTAATTCCACTAAACAGAACAGAAAAGGAACATCTGAGTTGTCAACAATAACTATGAAGAGAAAAGCTAGTCAGAAAAACTATTTGACATTTTCACTGTGTTCCTATCACAAAGATCGTCATCATCTTCTTCATCTTTTCTTTTTTCAAGAAAAACAAATTAATTCACAGGCAATAAGGGGTGCCACCCAGTTTGCAAAAATGAAAACCACAACATCTCCTAAGCTACCTCCATTAATTCTATCAAAAAGAAATTCCCTCCATTAATTAGTAACAGATGACCCCAACAGAATAAAAAGTTCTCTCCATTAATTAGTAACCGATGAACCCTTAAATAAAGTACAGAGTTACCTAATAAAAAAAGTACATAGAATCTCGAATTAATCATGTAATCCTGCAATAAAGAGAGCTAATATTTTCAAAAACCCTTCTATTTCTTCCCCTCCATGTAACCCAAAAGATAGTCGTTAGGATGAGAGAAAAATCTTTTCTCTTGACTTTCCTATCCGTATCCCTTCCAACTCCTCTCGGTTTAATTTAGTTTGAACACAAATATCCATATCACAGAGAGTTTCCATTAAGCAATATCTCTAAAAAAAGATACTAAACAAATTACAAACTGATTGTAGTAACAATATTCTAGTCCCATTAAAGGATAAAGGTCATAATTTGCAATTATAGTCTATTTCTCAATATTTAATAACCAACAGATCACGATCAGTTCAAGATTAACCAGGGGAGGGAGACATGCTTATCAGGGCAATTATAAGCACATAGTCACCTGAACACTGAAGCTCCCATGGTGCTCAGAGCTTCATTTACCCGTTGACTCCTATCCCCATCACTTACCTGCATGAGAGCCGAACAGGACTTTTAATTCATTAGAAAAGTATGATGCTCTCTTAATACAAATAACATGATAGAGGAAACACAACCAGAGGTTCTCCAAAGAGAAATAGATATTAAGTTTGCTGTGGGGCCCCTGAATTGACAGAGGTGTAAGGGAGAGAAGGGGCTGCCAGAGGGACTGAAAATGATGCAAAAATATGTTTGAGTGCAAACAGTAAAAGTAGTGATCAGGTCATTTGCTAAGGCAACTGTGTGTAACAGGTTGTCCTAGCACATCATTTGTCTAGATGCTCTTTTGGGCAGAATCGCAGGGCTCGGTCCTTATGACAACATGTGGCCAGTCGGATTTCTAGGTGACTTGATTGTTGTAAGAGTGCACTATTTTCTTTATATGGTAGTATTAATCTTATTCAAGCCTGTTTATCTAGCATCCTTTTCAATTATCTCTCTTCGTTTAATATTGCTAGAGGAGTAGCCCTTTGTTTAGTATTGTCTAGGGGAGTGGTAGAGAACATCTATAGGATAAAGAGGGGTTTTCTGTGGTCCAGGATAGGCAAGGCTTTGAGAGATCATCTAGTCAGATGGGATCTGTGCTGTCTCTCCTAGAAAGGCTGTTGGCATTGGTGTTGGAAACTTGGTGTTGAAAAACTTTTCTTTATTAGCTAAATGGGTATGACGATTTCATCTAGAAACTTTTTTACTATGGCATAGGGTGATTATGAGTAGTTATAGTAAACAAAAAGACGGCCTGAATTCTGACGCTAGGAGTTACAAAACTCATACAAGTCCCTGGAGAGTCATTTTAAGCTATGAACTTTATTCCTCTTACTTGCCGGAGGATGGGCCATGGTTCTTGTGTTTTGTTATGGGAAGATAACCATATTGGTGATCACCTCCTTGTCTCTATACGTTTGCTTGTGCCACATTATTTCTACTTACAGTTTCATTAATCATTTCCGGGACATGCTTCTTGGAATATGCAGTTTTTCAAGAACCTTAATAATCATGAGTTTGTTGATATGCTTTCTTACCTTAACTTACTTAAGCCTTGTTATGTTTTTCTCTTTCTGATAGCACAATTTGGTTAGACTTCTCAAGTGCTTACACTTGCGAATCTTCACTTATTATCTCATTTATATTCCTAGTTGCCAAAATGAGATTTTCACCAGTGCTTTTTGGAAGGTTAAAATTCTCTTTAAGGTAAAGGTTTTGCTTGGATTGTTATGCTTAAAAAACTTGAACACCAAATGACTTGTTGAAAATTCATAGGCATAACTAACCATGCTTTCTCCCCATACGTGACTTAATGTGCTTCCGGAAGGCTGAATCCCGTTGCCACCTTTTTCTACATCCTTATGTAGCTTGGGAACCTTAGACTGTGCTTTTTAATGCCTTTGGCTTAATGAACATACCGCCCTTTTTCTTGAGTATTTTTCTTAATATTTTGTGAAAGGCTACTGTGTGATTAAGGTGCTAAGATCCTCTGAAGATGGGTTCTTTTTGCTGGTTTGTGGGTTTTGACATATTTGGGGCAGATTTACCTTCTTGGATTCTTTGTGGACTAAGACACATGGGGGCATTAAAGATATCTTTTTTATTGTTACAAAGAAATTGATGTCTTTTTTGTATTTAGTGTTTTCCTTTGTTTTGTTGGCCTCCTATTTTTGGAGGTTTTCTAGAGGATGTCTTACGTACTTTAGTTATATTTCTCTCTTCCCTCTTTTCTCATAGTACTTCTTTTTTCTGAAAAAAGCAGTAAAAAAAAAGAGCACAGCAATCAAAATAGAAAATAACAGAGAAGGGTGGAAGCAGGGAATTTCCACAGCCATGGATTATATTTATACCATCATCCAGCCTCACAATGGCCACAGCTTCACCAAAAAAACAAGACATAAACAAAGAAAAATCTCTCAAGAAAGGCACTGCAATAGGGACTAGTACTCTGTACTCACCAAGAATGCATGCAATATGTGCACACAAAACTCAACAGCAATCCCGATAGACATTATCAGGTTAACAACAGAGACTGCATTGAGTTGAATATCTAGAATTGCCATTACACCCTGCATGATTAGAGTAAGTCAGTCCATTCCGAATTAGTAGAAGTGAAGGAAAGGAGTAATGAAGAGTGGACTCATAAGTAAAAGCCATTTCCGCAAGACTATTACATACCATGAGATCAACAAGAATCATCATTAAGACAAACAATATGATGGCTGAACTCCATAAACTGCATTTTAGAAGCAATTCAAGAGAAAATTGAAGTGACGAAATTCAGAAAGTACAGGGGTCATAAAAAGGGCCAAAATAGTAAATTGGTCCTTATATTAATTAAAATATTCAATTTGG